GAAGCGACTACTGTCTTGTTTGGCTCAAGACACGTGGACCAGCAGTGAGCTGTGCGTGCTAAAAGTGTGAACTGTCCGAGTGTTTTGTGGGCTTGCCTTGCTTGCAGCAGTGCTTGGACGTGTTTGCTTGCAGACCTGAAAGACCTAAGGCTTTCTAGGTTTTTAACGGTATGGACATGGATTCTGCTAAACACACAGTTTTCGGGCTTTATCTATCCTTCTTAGTGCCACACAACAAAGAAAGTTAGCCACCATCCAAGCAATTCTTAGCTGAACCTGGCGTACTATTCGGTAAGATAAGTCCTGAACCCGGAAAGAAAGATAATGCTCAGAGCCAAGTGCTGGCCACACAATTTGGGATGTTCGCCTGCTCGGCAATCGAAACGACAGCTCTCTACAGGCTTGGATGAACAAGAACACATCTGGCTTGTTCTCTTTGGAAAACAGTGGGAGTTGGAGCTTCCTTCTGAAGTCCGACATGGAGTTTCCAAAGTGGTCAAACTTCTTGGACGGAGAGAAAAGAGTCTCGGGGTTCAAAGGTTCAACCTTGCTTTTTTCCTCAATACCGTTTACCTTATTCACCAGAAAAAAACAGGCGAAGCCAAAAAACTTTTTTTTGGTGCTGGACGGTCAAGTTGAGACTTGAAAAACTTTTAAGTAAAATTAAAGTTTTTTTGATATGGAACGCAATTTCTTCAAGCCAAACTGTTTTTTGTTGGAGGTTGCGTGGAAGTCAAGATTCGAAAAAAACAAATTTCATTGAGCCGTTGGGCATTGGAAAAGAGTGGAAATTTAAATTCAAAATTTGTGTCCAAGCTGTTAGCTGCATTGTGGGTGGTGGTTTACATGGACTCCATGATGGAACTGTCGATCTCTTCTTGAAAGAATTTCAAAGGGAAGGCAAATTTAGCCTTGCTGCAATCAGCACCTCTAGCAATTCTGCAACGACAGAGACCTCTTTGATCATCTGTTTGTGCGAATACTTTTGAAGAATGCTTCTGTTAGACTCTTCTTGCTCTGATGCCAGCTACTGGCTCTTGCCGGTCCAGGAAGTCTCTCTGCATCTCTAGGCTATTGTAGGAAGAAAAGAGCCAGAGAGACCCGCCAATCCCGACAAAGCTGGCGCGGCCATGGACGAGGTCTGCGGTTTTGTAGGAGGCACGTCATCTCATTCGCTCGGAGGCTTGCACTTGTCGGATGGACAAGCCTGCCTGGATCGGGGACCATTGGCACGTCCTTGTACTGTGACCGTGCCTGTGAAAAGTGAAGAGTTGGTCAGAAGAAGGGTGCGAGAGGTGGCGCCGCAGGTTTAGGATCTGAAAGTTCCGTTTCGTTGATTTTGTTTTTGAGGCAAAGTTGCCGGACTTGCCGGGAGTAGCCGACGGCACCGGAGGCCGCTCGGGCGTTGCTTTCAAGTGGAGAGTTTTCAAGAGCTGTATTTTGTGGCTTCCTTCTGTCAAGTGCCCGGGGCATGCTTTTCGGCATTCAATGATCTATTCATTATTCTGAGGTTTGGGCAAGCCGCTTGTGGTCGCAACTCGAATGGATAGGTGCAGGAAGCAATTGATTCGGAGGCGAGGGTTATGGCTGTTAGACGTCGTTTGCATGCTGACTCAGTTCCTTCTGTTCCACTGAGTTGCCAATATACTTCCCGAGTGTGTAGGGGGTTGTTGGCATCCGTTCGCCCATGCTTCGCAAAGCCTCAACGCCTCGGCAGCATCAGGGCTCAAGGAGGTTTTGAGGGACGTTCGATCGTGATGGCATTCCGCATGGCGCTCGGTCTCGTGCTGCTGTGGCTGCCCCTGGCGAAAGGCTTGACCTTCTCGCACAGCCAGGGTGGTGACACCGCGACATGGGAACTGCATCTCCACGGGGATGAGCTTCATGTTACTTCGTAGCTGAGTGAGTGCACTTGACATTTTCTGTGATAATGGAATTAACACTTTACAGAACTGAAAGCGTACACGATTTTGGGCTGATGAACTCAGCAACTCAGGTTATGGCTGACTGCCCGGCCGACAGATGGTGCAGTCTTGGCTTCAACAAGGACAAGCCCAAGATGGATGGCACAGATGTCTTCACCTTCGGCCACCATCCGGGTGTGGATCTGTCAGACTGCCACCAGACCTGTGGCACGGCCTGCGGCTGTGGCACGGCCTGCGGCTGCGGCTGTGGCACGACCGCTTGTGGCTGCGGCTGCGGCACGACAGCCTGTGCTGCCTGTGGCAGCGGCACAACCTGTGGCTGTGGTGGCAACACTACCTGTGGCGCCTGTGGCGCCTGCGGCGGTCGCCGGCTGCGAAGCCGCAAAACCTCCCCAACTCCATCTCCGTTCCTTCCCTACGAGCGCGAGCTTAAGGTGTGGCTGCCGGCTCCTCCCACCCAGATCCGTGCGCCCCAGAGCCCGAAGGCCTTGGG